TATTTAAAAATAATTACATTTGTTCGAGAAATTCGATTAAAGTTGTTTCGAAAATAATTGAATTTCTTTAAAAAATTTTATTAAAATTAACTATACATTCAAAATAATTGAATTCATCACAAGAATTTTATTATTTTTTGAAAATAATTGAATTCAACACAAGAATTTTATTATTTTTTTGAAAATAATTCAATTCTTTCTAATTTTTTTTTTACGAATATATTTAAAAATTGCATTGAAAGTAATTTAATTTTTGTATAGAATTTTTTAAAAATATTTTGAAAATAACTGAATTATTTTTAGAAAATTTTAAATTCTTGCTGAAATTCAATTTTATAGAAAATTTTGAAAATAATTATATTCTTTCGTGTAATTTTATTTAAATTGATTTAAAAATTATGTAATTCCTGCAAAGAATGTTAGTATTTATAAAAATAGTTGAATTGTTTTGAAGAATTAATTAAAATTTTAGGAAATAATTGAAATTTATGGAAATATTTAAAAATACTTGAATTCATCCGAGGAATTCAATTAAAATTGTTTTGAAAATAATTGAATTCCTGCAAAGAATTTTACTTTTTTATAGAATTAATTGAATTCTGGCGAAGAATTTTACTATTTATAAAAATAATTCAATTTTTCCGAAGAATTTATTAAAATTTTAGAAAAAATTGAATTTTTTTGAAATGTGTTTAAATTTTTTTAAAAAATTAAATTCTTTTGAGGAATTTAATTAAATTTATTTTGAAAATCATGGAATTTTTGTAAAGATTTTACTATTTAAAAAAATAATGGAATTGTTTAGAAGGATTTATTAAAATTTTAGAAAATAATTGAATTCTTTCGTGAAATTTTATTAAAATTTTTTAAAATATGAATAGTAACAATTAATTTTGTACTTAATAAGTAAATATTTTAAATTTTAATTGTGAATTTTTTTTATAAATTTATATTTCAAAATAAAAAATTTAAATAATTTTTTATTATTGACGGACTTTTTGTTTTTTGAATTAGTAAATTTTACTAATAAATTAGTAGAAATGACTACTTATTAATAAAATTTACTAATTCAAGAGCAAAAATTCAATCACTATATTCAAATTCCTAAACATTTTTACTATTATAAAAAAAATAAAATATTATAAATTATTTTAAAATTATTTTAAATAATTATAAAAAAATTTTTACTATTATAAAATTTAGAGAATGAAAGTTACTCAATAAAATGAATATAAATAGTAATATTATTATTGTATATCATAAATAATTGTAATAAAATTGAAAAATTTGAATAAAATCGAAAGTATAATAATTCAAAAAAAAATTCAATGACAAATTTTTCTACTTTGTATAATATTGTAATTAAAATTATCACAGCATCTAACTAAAGTGCACTTTGCACTTTTCAGGGTTAAGTAAAAGTAAATTATGCCTCGTTCGTGATCTGTGCTTACCTCTTAATTACGTTACATATTCTGAACGTACCTAGTTGCGTTCCAATGTAATTATTTTCGTCTCGCGTGTCACATTTCTCTAGACCCCTTTTGGAATAAGTGTTTTTGCAATTCTACGACATTAAAGTAATCAACTTATTATTTTTCTTCGCTTTTTTCTCTCTCCTTTACTTTCATCGCCACGCATAAAAAGGTTTATCAGCGACTAATAATTCATTTTCATGATAATTATTAATTACGTTCCTTTATATACGTGTATATAGCATCAGAAATTGACATTATAGACTAATTAGAAAAAAAATTACTTTTACTCAAAGCAACAAATTATTTTTTATGAATTAATTAATAATAATAACTTTTGTAAATAATTAATTAATTTTGAATATAAAGCTATAAATTCTTGAATTAATCTTGAATTAATTAATTATAAATAATTATTTATGAATTGAAATTGAAATTTACAAGGTTTGCTATAATGAAGAAATAAATACTGCGAATTTTATAATTTAGTATTTTTTTATTTATGAATTCTGCTTTTAATAGAGTACAATATTAATTACAAATTTTTCGAGTTAATTATATATTTACAGGAGCGAAGAATAGTTTCTTAAAACTGATATACATTTGTTTGTAAATCAACAAAAAGGTAAAAATGATTTTCTCGATAGATTCTATAATTATATTTTTATAATATATATTTGATAAAAATTAATTTATGATAAGATAAAAATGTAATTTAATTATAGACAAAAGAACATTCATGTATGTAACATTATTTAAGCTATGGATTTATTTTATATAGTAAAATAACAATACTTATTGCTTTCAGAGAATTAAGTAGCCTAAAATTCTGCATAAAAATGTAACTTTTTTTCTCGAACAACATAAAGTTGTTTAGAAAAAAAAATATTTTTTTCAAAAGAAAATTTTTTTCCTAAAGAAATAATATTTTTTTTCAAAAGAAAATTTGTTTTCTTGTAGAAAAAATATTTTTTTTCGTTTTTTATAATTTTTCATACAAATAATAAGAATTTGCAACTATATTATATGCTAACATGTAACAAACTAAGGTATAATACAACAAAATTTTATAGTACATAATATTTTAATTATAAACATCTTTCATATAAATTTTACAAGTAATACTCTGGGTTTATAATTTTTTTTTCATAAACAAAATTCTTAGGGAAAAATTATAATTTTTATTAATACGGTTCAGAATTTGGTACTTTCAATTTTTGTAAATTAAGTACAAGTAGTAAAAGTAATTTCTAGTCAGACGGTATTTAAACTCTTGAAAATTAAGAAGTAAAAATGATTTTTATTCAAACATTAATGTAAATTTTTATAAGTTTCCAACAAGTGGTAAAAGAAACTTTTAGTAGGACACAACAGCTTATCATCTTCTGAATTCCAAGCTAGTAGAAAAAGTAATTTTTAGTCTGTCAATACGGTAATTAATTTTTTTAGTAGTAAAAGTAATTTTTAGTCAGACAATACGGCAATGAAGTTTTTAGTAGTAAAAGTAATTTTTATTCAGACAATACGGTAATTAATTTTTAGTAGTAAAAGTAATTTTTAGTCAGACAATACGGCAATGAAGTTTTTAGTAGTAAAAGTAATTTTTATTCAGACAATACGGTAATTAATTTTTAGTAGTAAAAGTAATTTTTAGTCAGACAATACGGTAATGAATTTTTTTTTTAGTAGTAAAATTAATTTTCAGTAAGACAAAATAGTACAACTTTTCGTTAATTTCGTTTGAGTAGTAAAGGTAAATTTAAAGTCAGACAGTGCAATTTTAAATTCTGTTACATTTTGTACAAGTAGTAAAAGTAATTTTTAGTTAGACAAAATAGTTCAAAATCTTGTAAATTAGATACAAGTAGTAAAGGCACTTTTTAGTCATGCAAACTAATTGTGATTGTTGTAAATTCGAAACTAGTAGTAACAGTAATTTTTAGTCAGACAATGCAGTAATGGATTCTCTTTAGTAGTAAAATTAATTTTAAAAGTTTTTCTTTTCGTTCGAGTAGTAAAGGTAAATTTAATGTCAGACCGTTCATCTTTATTTTTTTTTACATTTATTACTAGTAGTAAAAGTAATTTTTTAGACAAAATAGTTCAAATTTTTTGTAAATTAGGAATTAGTTACAAGTAGTAAAGGCACTTTTTAGTCAGACAAAATAATTGAAATTGTTGCAAATTCGGAGCCAGTGGTAAAATTTATTTTTAGTCAGACAATACTGTTTTATAATACCAGTAGTACTACTAGTACATTTGATATTAGTAGTAATTTTAAGTGCGTAATAAAATTTTCTGGTAAAGTTGGTACTAGTAGTGGAAGTAGTTTTTAGTCAGACAATAAAGTTTTAAAAAGCAGTAATATATTACTAGTAGTAAAAGTGGTTTTTAGTCAGACAATAAAGTTTTAAAAAGCAGTAATATTTTACTAGTTGTAAAAGTAGTTTTTAGTCAGACAATAAAGTTTTAAAGTCTGTTGCATTTTCTACTAGTAGTAAGAGTAATGTTTAGTCAGACACTGCGCTTATGAATTCTGTTATTTTTTGAACCAGTAGTGAAAGTGAACTTTAGTCAGACTAGTTCAAATGCTTTAGAATTTTTTTAAAAGTAGTAAGGTCAATTTTAAGCCGGTCAAAATAATTACAATTACTGTGAATTCAAAACTAGTAGTAAAAATAATTTTTAGTCAGACAACGCAGTATCAAATTGTACTATATTTGGTGCTAGTAGTAAAAGTAATTATTAGTCAGACAGAATGTAGCAAATTTTAGAAAATCTGTTGTAAGTAGTAATGGTAATGGTAAAAAAATAGTAGTAATATTAAAAGATTTTTTTTCAAGCACATTATTTTTTATTTTCTATATTATAAAATATTCTTTACATGAATGAAAAAACTTGTCTGACACAGACAACTTTTTCTACTTATACAGTGAATTCATGTTCACTTGAATTTTTTTTCTACTTAATTTTGCAAAAGACGAGAAAAATTTGTCCCACCTAAATATTAAATTTTAATATTCTTCACTGAATTATTTGTGCAACGCTCATCATTTTCTCCCTTCTTATCCACCAAAAAAAAGTTTCGTTTTCATCAATTCATAAATAAAAGTCCATAAATTTCATTTTATTCTCATAAATATTATATTTTATTAATAAAAAATTAATTGAACCCGAGTACGAAAACTAATTTTTAAAATTAATTTTCTCAGTCAAGGAAAATTTTCATTTTTATTATAAATTAGAATCCACTTTTACATTTTTTTTCATTCTTTCATGTTTGAATCCATTTATAAATTATAATTACGCACACATTATTGAGTAGAAAATTATAAATTAATTTCAAAATTACTAGAAATATATATATATATGTATTATTAAAGAATTTGTCGTAAAATTTTCATAGACTTCAAAAAATTCCCATAACTATATGGAAAAATTTTTATAACCATAAAAAAATGACTTTTAATATAGAGAAAAATCAAAAAAATTTACTAATAATAATAGAAAGAAAATTAGCGACTATATACGAAAAAATTCCCCATAACTATTCAAAAATTTTTACATTAATCAAAAAATTTACTAAGAATAATAGAAAAATAAGTTAAACTAGACGACAAATTTCCATAAACTATATATTGAAAAATTAACTAATAACTAGAGAAAAGAAATTAAAAGTTGCGACGAAAAAAAAACGAACAAAAAATAAAAAATAATTTCACTCGTACGATAATAGTATACATAAGAATAGAAAGTTTACAAAAAAAAAAATTTCTCATCTTGTGAAATTTCTTACCCATAAATCACTTGAATTATTCAATTACTAACAGATCTGCTTCCACTGCCACTATTTGAACCTCCACCTCTTTTGATATCTGATTTTGCAATAGCGCCATGCGCAATTCCATAATGTTCATAAGCGTCTTTTCCGTAAGTTACATTCGACTTTTCACGATTCAAACTTCTTTCATGAATATTGGGCTTTATTGCCTTGGGTGTCTGAAAAAGGGAAAAAAAATATTTAATAAAACTCCTTTCTACTGGAATACAAAATAAACCAGGAGTTACATTTAGAATGTAGTAATATTTACAATACTGTCAAAGTAATATAATCATTTTACTCAGAGGGGAAGGAAAAAATATTTGTAAATGACAATAATTTTTTATAACTAAAATTTTTTGCAAAAAAAAAACATTTTATAGAAATTACATTATTTGTAAACATCATTTTTTCTAGGTAACCTTTTTGTATTTTTATACATTTTTTTGCTTATAAATAATAGTTTTTTATAAATAACTTTTTTTACAAATAACTTTCTATTGTAAATAAAATTTTGTGTAAATATTAAATAAGTTTATTTACAAATTTCAATAACAATTGTTATACAAGTACTTTCCTTTATAAAAAATATTATTTGACAATAAACTTTTGAAAAAAAATAATTTTTTTGGTAAATAATTTTTTTATGATTAACTTTTTTTGTAAATAACATTTTTCTAAATAATTCTTTTTTATAAAATTACTCTCCTTATATAATAATTTTTTTTTTGTATGAATATTTTTCTTAAAAATAATTTTTCTAATAGAAACTTCTTTATAATGAATAACATTTTTTTATGCATAACATTTTATGAAAATAACTCTTTTCTATAAACTACAATTCTAATAAATAATTGTATTACAAGTATTTATTTATTTAATATTTTTTAGTATCTTTTGTTTAAATAATATTATATCTAACTAAATTTGTAAAAAAAAATTAATTATCTTGTAAATATTTTTTTTGTCTGTACCTACTTTTTTTTAAAAAACATTTTTTTTTATTATTTTTTTATCAAATGACTTTCCTTATAAGTGCGGCTCTTTTGTAAATAACTTTTTAGCGTAACAAATTTTCCTATAAATAATTTTACTAAAAAAAAATTTTTTTATAAGTAACATTTTTTGTAAATAATTTTTTTCATTAAATAATTTTTCTTATAAATTATTTCTCTCCTATACATTATTTTTCTTATAAATTATTTCTCCTATAAATTATTTCTCTTGTAAATTATTTCTCCTATAAATTATTTTTCTTATAAATTATTTTTCTTATAAATTATTTTTTCGTTAAGAACTTTTTTGTTATTAACATTTTATCCTTAAATAATTTTTTTTCTTTATAAAATTACTTTCCTTATAAAAATAAGGTTTTATTAATAACTTTTTTGGTATAACTTTTTTATATAAAAAATTTTCTTATAAATTTAATTTTTTTTATATAAATTTAAATAAACAAATAATAAAGATTTTTAGTATTTAATTCTTTCGATACAAATAATTTCCTTTTATGAACAGAAGCGCAATTTTTTAGAAATAAAAAGAAATGGGAAAAAATCGTTTTTCCTCTGTGTTCTGTGTTTCTTTTTCTCTGGGAGATAATTTTCGTTGTCTGATTTTAATTTCCTAATAGTTTCTTTTTTTCTTTTTCTTTCTTTTTTTTGTAGCCTCTCCACACTAGACGTTAAACAAACACCTTCATTGCGTCGAGTGTTTGGTACTTCTAATAGAATTTTTCATTATTTTATTTCTCTCCCGTTCATGGAGCGTAATTTAAAGCAACGCTTTTCTGGCTCAAAACTTATACGCGCGCGCATTGCAACAGGTGTAGTCGAGTGAAAAACGCTATTACTTTAACAGCAAGAGGGGCTAAATTGGATCGCTTTTTTACAATTTTCATGAAATACATAATTCTGTAGTCGGACTTATCACGACTTGTATTTGAAAATTGCAATAAAAAAAAAGAAAGAAACAGACAAAACAAAATGAAAAAAACTGCAATGGTGTTTATAAGCTTCTATTCTCCACACTCTAAAGTGTAAATAAAAGTGAAAATAAATATTGTGGGAAGGACTTTTTCGGTAGTAAGAAAATTCTCAAATAGAAGAGGAGCTTTTTAACTTTCATTTTTGAAAAATAAAATAAAATTTAAAAAAAAACTTAAATGGAGCAAAATAAAAATTAAGTTTTAAAATGAAAAAGAGGTCAATTTATTATATTTCCAATTAATTATTTAATTTATAGTAAAATAATTAATTTTATTAATTTTTAAATATCAAATTAATTAATTTAATCAATTCGCACAAGAAATTTTTTTCACATAGCCCCTTTCGTGTTTTTTCTAATTTAAATTTCGCGCCATTGTAACTCTATGCGTTGCCGTCCAGATGGCATGAAATCTCTCTCATAAACGAGATTCACTAATGTTCAATTTTAGTTGTTTATGCTATAAAAATTTTTTTACATTTAAATAAAAATATTAATAAAAATATTAATAAAAATATTAATAAATATAAATACAAATAAAAATGAAAATATTTATAAATACAAATACAAATAAAAATTTAAATTAAAAAGTCGGAAAAAGAAATAAAATAGAAAATAAAAATATAAAGCAAAAGGTAAATAAAAATAATAAAATTATTTTAATCATATGATTAACTAACTAGCAAAACTGCAAGCGCGCATGAAATTTTCTTTGCCGTTGTTACTTTAAAAGATTTGCTTTTTGAAATTCAATCAAAATTCTTCATTCCTTAAAAAATATTATTTTTCTAATAGTTTTTCTTTAAATTTAATTATTGAAAATATTTCTAACAGCAACTTAAATATTTTTCATTAAATAATTGAACAATGCTGGTAATAAGCTTATTCTAACTTTTTTAAAATTTTATTTTATTCAATTTTAAATTTATTTATTTATTTTCCAAATTTTCAATTAGAATTCTCTAAAAATACGATTATATTTTAAAAGGAAACAAATAAAATCCATTAAAATATTAAATTTATTTCAATGAATTTTGACATAAATTTCAATTGTTTCAATTTCTTTACATTATTTTCGAAAATATAATTATTTTAAAAAATTTTAATTATATTTTTTCAAGAAACAAATTTTCTCGGAATTTCTAAATTATTCAAAACTTCAATACTTTTTGTTAAATAAAAAATTAAAAACTTATTCTTTGTTATTTTTCCAAAGAAATTAAAATTTCAAATAATTTCAATGAAAAACCTGATGAAATTTAATTATTTCTAAAAATTGAAAATGTACTTCTTTTAAAATTCAATTATATTTTTTTAGAATTTTTGAATAAAATTATTAAAAAACTTTAAAGAATTTTAACTGAATTTTGTTTAATTTTTTTCCAAAATACAATTATATTATTTATAGATAATTTTTAAAGTTGGAAAAAATAAAATTCTTTAAAATATCAAATTTTACAAAATTTCCAATTTATTGTTTTAATTTTTTAAAATTATTTTTAAGAATTCAAGTATATTTTCAAAAAATTTAAATTTCTATTATTCAAAAATCTTATTTTTTTAAGAATTTCCATATTAAATCTTTCAAATTTCAATCTTATTTGTAAAATAATTATTTAAATAATTTAAATACTTATTTATATTATTTATAAAAAAAATTATAAACACAAATTTCATAAAATTCAATTACTTGTTGAATTTTTAAATAAAAAATTATTCCAAAATAATTCATAAAAAATATTTTTTTTCTCAATATTTTTTCAAAAATTAAATTATTCAAAAAATTCAATTTTAAATCTGTAAAATTTAATTATTGTTAAAATTAGAAAGATTTTGAAATAAATAAAATCTTTTTAATACTGAAGAATAAAATTCAGAATTTTCTTATGAATTCTTGAAATTGAATATTATTCCGCAGTCAAGTATATTTGACAAACTTCTCTGACTTTTTCCTGACTTCCCTGAATAAATTTAGAAAAATAGTGATTTTGTGTAGAATTCTTTTGAATAATTAAATTTTTTAATGTTAATAATAATAATAAAATTAGCCATTTGATTAATTAAAAAATTAATAAATTATTTTTTCAACAGCTGTAAAATAAATGTTCACCTGATTTAAATGTTGCATGGCACTGAAACTCTGCATGACGAGTTGCGATGTCGCTGTCATTGCATTATGCTGCGTTGTGTTTGATGATTTTCTTTGGGACGATTGTAATTTTCCATTTGATTTTTGTTCAGCGGCAATTTGAAGAATTTGTGCGGAACGTGTCCGTCTCGCTGGCAATGATTCGATTCGACTTCCATCGAGATGGGAAATCGGCGCCGGAAATGGAGTTGTTTGCGACCGATGCTTTCTGACTGGCGCCTGAGGACTTGTTGGCACAGGATGCTCAATAATCGCATCTTCAACAGCCGGTGCCGAAATCGACGACTCTAAACTTGGACCACGTATTGAGCCGGAAGCCTCGCTCGAAGTTCCGCTTCGTTCATGACTGACCACTGCTTCATTAAGTTGAGAATGACTGGAAATTAGAATTTTCAAAATTTTACCATGAATAAAATCAAATTTTGTTTTTATTTTTATAAATTTCAATTTACATCTATTTTTGTTTCTAAAGCTTTGTAAAAAATTTTAATTCAACAAATAATATTAGTTTTATTTTTTACTTAGTTACTTATTAGTTTTGGAAAATTTGAATTTCCCGCCATTGTAAATCTGTAAGTTTCCGTCTAGAGGGCATAAAAGTTCTCTCACAAACGCGATTCAACTTTTTTTAATTTTAATTATTTATGTAATAAAAAATAAATAAAACTGTATATACAATTAGAAATAAAAATATAAATAAAAATAATTGTTATTAAGATATGAATAAGATATTAAATGAACATATAAATGAAAATAGCAAATAAAAAATTAAAAATATAATTGAAAATAAATGAAAATATAAATGAAAATAGCAAATAAAAAATTAAAAACATAATTGAAAATAAATTCGAAAATATAAATGAAATATTAAATAAAGATACAAATGAAAATAATAAATGAACTTATAAATAAAATAATATATAAAAATATAAATAAAGAAAATAAATAATAAAATAATATTGTTAATAGTTAATAATAAGTTGAATACTATAAGTGTTATAGTAGTTATTGATGTTTCATTTCCAGATAATTTTTTGTTTACTTCGTTTACTTTTTGTTTTCCCATTGTTTTTTACTGTCATTTCCTCTTCTATTTCTTTATTAAAAACAATTTTTATTATTGAAAACTTGTGTCAATATTGTCAATATTTAAATATCAGCCTTTTGCCAATATTCGCGATAAAAGTTAGTTCAATATTTTTCCAATCGTCAGTCCAGTTAATTTCATAATATAATAAAGTCTTTTGAATGAAAGTCGAGACGAGAAAAAACGAAAAAATAAGGAATTATAAAATTAAATAAAAAAAATTATATACCTAGTTGAGAAATTAAATATAACATTAAAAATTTAACAAATTAGATCAAAATAAATAAATTAAGTTAACTTAATTATTAATTAAACAAATTAAATAATAATAAATCTAATTACCTTAATTTATTTTTATTCAATTTTGATCAATTTATAATTTATCTAAATTTTCAATTATAATTTAAATTAAATTTTAGTTCACTAAATTAGGTATTTGCAATAAATTTGATTTAATTTTATTTTTTTAATTTATTAGTAAATTAAAATTAAATTAATAGGAATTAAATATTAATTTAAAAATTTGGTCAATGAAGTTAGAGTCAACACTCAACGTCGAAAAATGTTTTTTTTCGCAAAATTTTTAAAATATTAAGTTTCTAAAATGTCCTAAACTTATTTTTCAATTTTGAATTGAATGAGAAGAATAAAATTAGTGGCATTCAATTATTTCCAAAAATTTCAGTTCAATTCATAGTAAGAATTGAATTATTTTTATAAATAATGAAATTCTTCGCAGGATTTCAATTCTTTTCATAAATAAAAAAATCTTATAAAAAATTCAATTATTTTCAACTTCTTTTTAAAATTCGTCAAAAAAATTCAATTATTTTTAAAAACAATAAAATTCTTCGCAGAATTTCAATTATTTTCAATACAATTTAAACAAAATTTCTTGAAGTTGAAATGAATTCAATTATTTTCAAATGCAACAATTTTTGCAGGAATTCAATTATTTTTATTACAATTTCAATAAAAATTCTTGAATTAATTCAATTATGTTGCACATTTAAAAAAAAATCCTTCGCAAAAATTCAATCATCTTCATAAATAAAAAATTCTTATCAAAAATTCAATTATTTTCAAATTTTTAAAAATAAATTCTTGGCAAAAGTTTAATTATTTCCAAAAATTTTAGTAAAATTGATAGTTATATTTTCAATTATTTTTATAAATAATAAAATTCTTCTCAGGATTTCAATTATTTTTAATGCAATTTAAACAAAATTTCTTGAAGTTGAAATGAATTTAATTATTTTCTAATGCAACATTTTTTGCAGGAATTCAGTTAGTCTCATTACAATTTCAACAAAAATTCTTGAATTAATTCAATTATGTTTCACATTTAAAAAAAAATTCTTCGCAAAAATTCAATTATCTTCATAAATAAAAAATTCTTAGCAAGAAGATTTTCAATTTTTTTTTTAAATTCGTCTCACGAATTTAATTATTTCTACAAATTTTATTAAAATTCATTGTATGTAATAAATTAATAATTGAATCATTTTTATAAATAATAAGATTCTTCGCAGGATTTCAATTATTTTCATAAATAAAAATTCTTAGCAAAAGTTCAATTATTTCCAAAAATTTTAGTAAAATTGATAGTAATAATTTCAATTATTTTTAACAATAGTAAATTTCTTCGCAGGATTTCAATATTATTTTCATAAATAAAAATTTCTTAGCAAAAATTCAATTACTTTCAATTCTTTTTTAAATTTGTCCCAAGAATTCAAATGTTTCCAAACATTTTATTCAATTTGATAGTAAGAATTCAATTATTTTTAAAAATAATACTCAGGATTTCAATTATTTCCAATGCAAATTTAAAAAAATTCACCATAAAAATTCAATTATTTAAATAAATGATAATATTCTCCGCAGGAATTCAATTATGTTTAATCAAATTTTAATCAAATTTCTCAAAAAAATTCAATTTTTTACTATTAATATAATGATTTTCACAAAAATTTAATTATTTTCAAAAATTTTAGTAAATATTTCTCTAAAGGATTCAATTACTTTTCAAAATTATGATAACATTTTTTAAAGGAGTTCAATTCTTTTAATTCTTAAATTCCTCTAAAAATTCAAGTATTTTCAAAAATTTTAGTAAAATTCATAGTAGAAATTTAATTATTTTTAATAAATTTAATAAATTTCTAGGCCGAATTCAATTATTTAACAAAATTATTAATTTTTAAAATTAAATTAAAGAAAATAAAATAAAAATTCACTTTAAGAAAATAATATTAACTTATTTTTATTTTCGAAATTCGAATTAAATGAGAGGAATGAAATTAGTGTCATTTTTATCTCTGAAAACCCCAAAAAATTATTTTCAATGGTTAGCGTCGACGCTAACTTTAGTGCCATTAATTAAATATTAATTTAAATTTAATTAACCCTTATAGGACGAAATTTCTTTTTTAAATCTTGAATTTTGATTTTTAAACAAGCTTTTTAGGGAAAATCATTAAGGTTTTTTATTCGATGACTAATGTTTGGAATAGAAAATTTTCTGGATTGGATAAAAATTATTGTTTCAATATTTAGTTTTAAAGCTCAAAAAATTATGCAACCAGTTAACAAAAAAATTTTCATGTTGCCGGAAAGCAACACAGCGGGCTTCAAACGGTTAATTAAAAATTAGTAAATTTAAATTTAGTAAATTAAAAAATTAATTAAATTTAGTAAATTAAAAAATTAATTAAATTAGTAAATTAAAACTAATTAAAAATTAGTTTAGTTAATTATAAGAATTCAATTACAATTTTAATTTAATTTTCTGAATTTATAATTTTTTAATTAAATTTATCTGATAAATTATGAATTAAAAAATGAAGAATATAATGTAGAGATAAATAAAAAAAATGCGAAACAAACCTAATTGTTTCCTTATCGCTGCTACTCGATGAGTCTGTAGCGATTTTCCTCAATTGCTCATTATTAAATGGATAAACTTTGACATTAGAGATAGTTAACTCATTGAACTCGGAGTTGGATTTATTTATCAAAGACTGACTTCCGGCGATTCTTGTATCAACATTCGAATCGACCCCATTCCCTTGAAAGGCCAATGTGGGATCTCCATTGGGAAAACTTGCAAATTTCGCAACAATTCTCCTCTCCTCAGCAACTTGCGGTGCAAACGGAATTTTCCTCTCAACTGGTTTCGATAATGAAATTAGTGAATTATTTTTATTTAACAATTCATTTCTATTGATACTGGTCATTTTTTTTCTATTTATTTCATTGACATTTTTTCTTGAACTATCATTATTAATTATTTTTGGCATTCTTTTTGTTGTTGTTGTTGTTGTTGTTGTTGTCTTCTTCTTTGTTGTATCGACACTTAAACGTCTCTCTGGAAAATGTCTTCCTTTCATATTTTGTTGTTCATTTTTTTCAATTTCATCGTCAACAATTTCCTCATCGAAATCTTCATTCTCAGATTCCTCCTCATTCTCCTCGACTATTGCACTTGATTGAATCCACTCACGAATTCTGTCCTTCTTCTTTGAACGATCGACAGTCGTTTCAATTCCATAACGCGTGAGTGTATAAAGAAGTTGATTTTTTTCCTCGAGAGAACTGTGAAAACTGTACATCGAGGGACATAATTCGTCCCTTTCGTCTGCGCCACCTGCGAGAGAAAATTGTTCTTTTTAGTTTTTTATTTTGCCTTTTCTTTTTTTCCTCTTTTTTCTTTTTTTTTTTTTGCTTCTTTTGCACTGAAATTATAAACGCGCGTGTTCATTTGGTTATTGGACTTTGGTGAAATATAAAGTTTCTCATTTTCTAAAATTGAAATCATGCCAAAACTGTGAGGGTAATAATTTTCTTGATTAAAACATAAATTGCGAAAAATAGAACAAAATTTTATTACAAATTGAAAAGTGCAAATTCATTATTTCTATATAAGAAATTTGTTATTATTTCCAATACAATTTAAAGAAAATTTCTTAAAATAATTCAATTATTTTTAACAATTTTCTAAAAAAAAATTCTTCGCAAAAATTCAATTACTATTTCATAAATAAAAAATTCTTGGCAATAATTCAATTATTTTCAATAATATGTGAAACAACTTTCTTCAAAGAATTCATATATTTTCATAAACAATATTTTCTGCAAGAATTCAATTATTTTCTACCATTTAAAAAAACATTCTTCGCAAAAATTTAATTATTTTTTTAATTTGTCCCAATAATTTAATTATTTTCAATCATTTTTTGTGAAATTCATAGTAAGAATTGAATTATTTTTATAAATAATAAAATTCATAGCAGGTTTTCAATTATTTTCAATACAAACTAAAAAAAAATCTTGGTAAAAATTTAATTATTTTTATAAATAAAAAAACTTTAGCAAAAATTCAGTAATTTTCAATTTCTTTTTTTTAAATAAGTCGCAAGAATTCAATTATTTACAAAAATTTTAGTAAAACAAATAGTAAGAATTTCAATTATTTTTATAAATAATAAACTTCTTCGCAGGATTTCATTTAATTTTAAAACGATTGAAAAAAATTCATTATAAAAATTCAATTATTTTTGTAAATAAAAAATTCTTAGCAAAAATTCAATTATTTTCAAATTTTTTTCAAATTCGTGCAAAGAATTCAATTATATTTATTTACAAAAATTTTAGTAAAATTGATAGAAAAAAATTTCAATTATTTTCATAAGTAATAAAATTCTTCGCAGTATTTCAATTAATTTCAATACAATTTCAACAAAGTTTCTTGAAAGAATTCAATGAATTTCAAATACAATATTTTTTACAGGAATTCAATTATTTTCATTAAAATTTCAACCAAAATTCTTGAATTAATTCAATTATGTTTCACAATTTAAAAATAATTCTTTACAAAAATTCAATTATTCTTAAAAATAAAAAATTCTTATCAAAAATTCAATTATTTTCAAATTTAAAAAAAAAATTCGTCAAAAAAATTCAATTATTTTCAAAAATTTTAGTAAAATTGATAGTAATAATTTCAATTATTTTTATAAATTATAATATTCTTCGCAGGAATTCAATTATTTTAAATACAATTTTAATAAAATTTCTAAAAAAAATTAAATTTTTTACAGATAATAAAATGTTTCTCACATAAATTTAATGATTTTTAAAAAATGTTAATAAAATTCTTCGAAACAGATGAATTATTTTCAAAAATTTTAAAAAAATTCCTCTAAACAATTCAATTATTTTCAGATATTGGATAATAAAATCCCTCTCAAAAATCCAAATATTTCAAAAAATTCTACTAAAATTCATCGTAACAATCCAATTACTTTTAAAAATAATAAAAATTTTCGCAAAAGTTCAATTATTCTCATTACAATTTAAACAAAATTTTTTAAAAGAATTCAATTATTTCTAAAAATTTCATTTAAAATTCATTGTAAGAATTGAATTATTTTTATAAATATTAAAATTCTTCGCAGAATTTGAATTATTTTCAATAAAATTTGAAGAAAATTCATTCCTAAAATTTCAATTATTTTCTTCATAAATAAAAAATTAAATTATTTTCAAATTTTTTTTTAAATTCGTCCCAAGAATTCAATTATATTTATTTCCAAAAATTGTAGTAAAATTAATAGTAGGAATTCAATTATTTTTATAAATAATAATATTCTTCGCAGAAATTTAACTATTTTCAATAAAATTTGAAGAAAATGTCTCCGGAAAATTCCATTTTTTACAAATTATAATTATAACTATATAATATAATAAATAATATGTTAATAAATAAATTAATAAATAACACTGTTTAACAAAAATTTTAATTTTTAAAATTAAAGGGAATATTCACATATTTAAAAAAATAATTTTTTAAAACATTAACCGTATGGTTCATTAATAAAAATTTGATTTTCTACAATAATTATTTATAAATAAGTACATTTATATCTTTTAAAATGTTAAATTAAATTTATACAAAATTAATTATGATTTTTAATTCCAAACAATATTAATTTATCTTCTAAAGTGGAATTTCGTCCGTACAAAATTAAATTAAAATTTTATTTATCATAAATAAAATTTATTTGAGGTAAATAAATAATTAAATAGATTTTTAGTAAAATGTATTTTTGCAGTGTTTACGTAAATTGAATACTTTTTTACAAAAAGGTTTTTATTTTTTTTTTATAATTCCGTTGATATTAAATGAACAAATATAATTATGTTCATAATTAGACGAAAAATAAACTTGAATTAAAATTTGAGAATGTAATAAATTTCACTTTCAAAAAGGAGAATTTTCTGAAATTTCCCTTTTCTGATCGAAACTCATTCTCATGATAGAATTTCGAAAGTTAATTTTGTAAATTTTCGAGAGGTGTTACATATCCTCATTTTGTTGTTGATTGTGCTTTAAGCCAGTTTGTCCGTTCCATTACCCAAAATTCTACTCTATACCCATGGCACAAATTACACTTCTGCAATTTGAGCTAAATGAATTGTAATAGTAATTCGAATACCCCATTACGACTTTCAAGTACATGCAGTAGTTTGTTAACTATTCCAAGGACCTTTAGCTATTGTATCCCCTAAACTATATGCTGCGCTGGGGTGAAAAACTGTGCAAATGGGTTTCGGGTTCCGAGAAATGGATCATCGTTCAAATTTATTGACTACTCGTCTCATTACAAATCAAATAAAAATAGATATGAAATATAAAATACAAAAATGGATATAAAAAAAAGAAATAGATATAAAAAATAGACATAAAGATATAAAAATAAAATATATTTAAATATTAAAAATAATTCTTTTCAATTTATCTTTTATTATTACTAACTATAATAATCTTCGTATTTCATTCTTTCATTCTGTGTTTTTTTGTTTTTTTTTTCTTTAAAAAATATTGTTTGACAGATCGAAAAAATGCAGGTATTTTTTCATGATTTATAATAAAACAATATTTGAAATTAGAAAATATAAAAAAAATTATGATTAACAAATAAATTTTGTTTATTTTATGCTTTTTTCTACAACAAATTTCGTTTGACTGATCTAAATTATGCAAATTTTTCTCCATTTTACTTATAAAAAATAGAAAATTTTTATTTGTTAAAAAATTATAATAAAAAATAGGAAATATATCCAATTTTATGCATAATTTATATTTCTCAATAACAATATTGTTCAGAAACTCATTCTTTTCTTTTGAAAAAGAAACATTACACATTCTATTCTATTTGTCAATTACAAATTTTAATTGAAAATGAAATTGAAACTTTTTAAATTTTTAGAAAATAAAGGAAAAAATTTTACTCAAAAAAATGTTCTGTTACATTTTTATTTACGAATTTCTTTAATTGTATAAAATTATTCGAAAACATCAATAACTTTTTTTTTAAATAAATATTTAATCAATATTATTTTTCCACAGGAATTAAGAATTTCAAAAATTTCAAATTCAAATCTTTTAAAATTCAATAATTTATAAGAAAATTTTTATAAAACATGAAGATAGCGATTGCTCCGAGTCGAAGACTCGGAGTGATCGATTTCTTCATGTTTTATAAATAATTAAAGATGACCGAGTGATAAAATCATTGTTTTAATATTATAAGAATATTATTACAGTAACTTTTTCAAAATTATTTTCATCATTTCAAATCAATTATTATTTTCTACAATTTTAAATTATTTTTTATGAAAATAATTGAAAAAATTTTATTATTTATAAAAATAATTGAATTTTTGCGAAGAACTTTATAAAAAAAATTTGTAAATAATTGATTTTCTGAGAAATTTTTATTATTTATGAAAATAATTGAACTTTGATAAAGAATTTTGTTATTTATAAAGATAATTGGGATTTTGATAAGAATTTTTTTTAAATTTGAAAGATAATTGAATTTTATGAAAAGTATTTTATCACTCTTGAAAATAATTGAATTTCTGTAATTATATTTGTAATTTTTCCGAAATTGGATTTTTTTGGTGTTTTCGACAAAAAATTTGAATTACAAATTTTTAAATTCTATTATTTATAAAATTCTTAATTTTAACCTAAAAAGTTAGCTGCGCGCTTTAGAACGCGAATTGTTGCTAGTTTATAAAATAAATCTTAAGAATCTTAATTTCAAACTTTCATAAATTTTATAAAACGTAATAAAATATAAATATTTATATTTATTTAATTTATAATTAAATGGTTTTTATATAAAACAAATTTAATTAATAACTTTTAATAATATACAAAAAATTGACATATTTTCATTTTAAATGGAATAAAAATTTAATTTTCATTTATAAAAATATTTTTAAAAATATTTAAGTTCATCTTTGAATTAAAAAACAAAAAAAGAAAATTGAATATTAAAAATATAATAATAAATAATTTGCAATATAAGTATCAGTACAGAAATCATATTTGTTACATTATAATAAATTATATTTGTATTTTAGTAAATAAATTATATTTTTATATAAAATAAATAAATATTTCTAAGTGAAATAAATAAATATTTTTTATGTAAAATAAATAAATTATAATATAGTCGAAATCAATACAGTTATTTTACATAAATTGAATAAAGAATACCTAAAATTAATTAAAATAATATAATATTATATGTAAATATGTAAAAAAAGAAAGAAATATTAAAATGCAAATGAAACGAAAATTAAATAAAACTCTATGTAAATTTATTATTAAAATAGAGAATATTCATCTACAAAATAAAGCAAAGTTTCAAAGAGAATACGAAGAAAATAAAATAAATTTCTCCGAGGAACAAGAGAACAAAGAAAGTATAATTATTAATTAAAATACTTGTTCGAAAGCATCACTATTTTCTGTAATATTATTTATTTTTAACTCCTTTTTAAATTTGATTCTACTTTTAAAAAAAGAATATTAACTATATTTGAGTTTAATGAAATTTTTAATTAAAAAGTATTTAGTCATTATTACAAAATATTAATTATATGCTATACAAAACATTCATTATAACACAGAAAACATATAATATAGAAAATCTCATTTAGAGATTAAACATTTTCTCTGGAAAAGTTATATTAACAATATGAACAAAAATAAAATATATTTTAATTAATAACATATGCGTCGAAATAAAATCGACATTTCCTTTGTTCTTTTCATTTGCTCGTAACTCAGTATCAGGTTTTATTGATTTTTCATAATCCTTCAGTACTTATTAAAAGGGAATTAAATTAATTCCGCCCCTACTGTAATGTAATATAACATTCCTGTATATATATATATATATATATACTTATAATATAAAATGTTATATGAAAGCAGAATTTTTATTTATAAAATTAAAAAGAAAAGTATGTTAGGGAAAATAAATATTTGTGCGAATTAAATTTTAATGAATAGAAATTTATGATTTATAATTATGTAAATATATATGAATGAAAAGAATGAAAAGAAATTATATAATTATGTATATATCTAACCTCTGAAATTTTAATAACGATGCGTACCGTTTAAAGCTTTTTCTGCTCCTAATTTCGCTAACCATCTATCTTCCACGTACTTATTGACTTCAAGCACACTAACAGGTCGTTTTTCCAACTTAGGATCTAGCAGTCTTTTGAATAGTCTGAAAAAAAAAATTAATTTTTTATTCATGAGAATATGCTTTTGGTTCTCTATTTTATTTGAAAATTGAAATTATAACATTTTTTCCCCAATTATTGAGAATTTGGTAAAAATTTGAGAATAATTTTGAAATTTTCCATGAAATCAGTATATAGAATAGACCAATTAAAGTTAGAGTTTTCAGTTTTTCCATTTTTTCCCCCATTTTTAATGTCAGTAGTAAAAGTAAATTTCGGTAAGACTTAAATATTCGTTAAAAGTTAGTCTTAGTTATACTACAAAAGGTTTATTACCTTTTTTAGTACTAAAATTAACTTTGTTATTTAATCACTATAAAGGAGAACTTTTTAGTCGATTGTAATTTTAAAATAAGTAGTAACAGATTTTTTCAGTCAGACAGAATACTAATATTGCAATTTTAACTGTTTTTCCTGTAGTCAACGTAATTTGTAGTAAAACACAATGCGATTGAAAAAAACAATGCTAGACTTTTTATAATTTTCTAAAAAAAAAAAATTAAGTAGTAAATACCAGTTATAGTCAGACGGAGAAAGTTTTCTTTATTCTAAATTTAAAACTCAAAATAAAAGTAATTTTTAGTCAGACTTTTACTTATTAGTTCGGTCAATTTAATAATTAATACTAGTACTTTTTTTGTCCTAGTAGTAAAAGTCAGTTTCGGTCAGACAGGAAAAGTATTAATTTTTCTGATTATGAAAATCAATGTAAAAGTAATTACTAATATATAATATATGTATAATATTTTTATAGTCATATACTGCGATTAAATAAAAAAAATAATAGACTTTTTATATTTTTGCACACAAATTTAAGTAGTAAATGCCTGTTATAGTCAGACAGGAAAATTTTTATTTGTTCTGAATTTTCAACTTAGAGTAAAGTATTTTTTAGTCAGACTATTAAAATTGTAAGTTTAGTAAATTTCAAGTCTGGTACAGATAATATTTTTGGCCCAGTAGTAAAAGTGTGTTTTAGTCAGACATAATGTTTTTACTTTTTTGATTTAGAAAAAGTAGATATCACTAATTTTAAGTTAAACTTTAGGTAGATATGGTTAATTTAATACTAGCCGGTATTATTTTTAGTTCTCGTAGTGAAAGTCTGTTTTTTAATCAAAATCTTTTTCAAGTAGTAAATGTCAGCTTTAGTCAGACATTTGATTTACAATTTTGGTAAATTTAATACTAAAACATATTATTTTTGTTCCCAGTAGTAAAAATCTGTTTTAGTCAGACAAAATGTTTGAAAGTTTACCGAATTTCATCAAAGTAGTAAAAGCAGATTTTAGTCAGACTTGATAATAATTTTTTAAAAATCAATTTTGTATTACTGAAAAAATTAATTGTTATTCAAACAGAGCGTTTAAATTACTGTTCATTTAGTAGTAGTTCCTATTAATGTAACAATAGTAATGAATATAATTTTTTATTTAAATATAATAGTGTAAACAGTGTGAATTTACTGCAATAGAAGCAAAAATAATTATTATAGTCAAAAAAACAGTTATAATTTTTTAATAGAAAAAAAATTCTAAATATTGAATACAAGTAGTAAGAGTCAATTTAAGACCAGACCTTATAGTTTATTGATATTATTAGTAACAAATTGATTATTAATTAAACAGGAAGTACATAAATGCCAGTCAATTTGAATCGAGTAGTAAAAGTCAATTTCAGTCAGACATGATATTATTAATTTCTATATGAATTCTATATGAGTTGAAATAGTAGTTATTAGTCAGACAAATCACATTTAATTATAGTATATTTGATTATTCGGATTTATTTTTTAATAGAAAAAAAATTCCAAATTGAACACAAGTAGTAAAAGTCAATTTCAGATCAGACCTTTTAGTTTATTATTATTACCAGCAGCGAAATAATTTTTACTCAGTCAGGAGTTTGAAAATTTACTATAAATTGAAGTCAAGTAGTAAAAGTCAATTCCAGTCAGACAGAATTAGTTTCTATAGATATTAATTTACGACCAGTAGCAAAAGTACTTATAGGTCAGACAAATAGAATTAAATTATCGTGAATTTGATTCCAGTAGTAAAAATAGTTCTCAGATAGTTTTCATAAATTTTCTACAAATTTACTGCAAGTAGAAAAGTTATTTTAAAGTCAGACATTGTAAATTATTTTTATTACCCGTTGCAAATTACTTTTTAATCAGACAGGAAAGTTTAAATTTCTATTCATTCTGCACCAGTAGCAAAAGTACTTCTGAGTCAGACAGATTGTATTAAATTATCGTGAATTTGGTTCCAGTAGTAAAAGTAGATTTTAGGTCAGACTAGATAGTTACTTTTTCTCTTAATTTACTGCAAGTAGAAAATTTATTTTAAAGTCAAATATTATAAATTACTTTTATCACCCGGTGCAAATTAGTTTTTACTAAAGCTTTTAGTCAGACAGAAAGTTTATAAATTCTTATAAATTTGAATCGAGTAGTAAAAGTTAATTCCAGTTAGACAGGATAGTTTAAATTTAAATTTCTATTAATTTTGCACCAGTAGCAAAAGTATACATATTGGTCAGACAAATTGGATTAAGCTATCGTGAATTTTGTCCTAGTAGTAAAAGTACTTTTTAGTCAGACCCAGTGGTTTCATTTCCTATATTGAAAAATGTCAGATAGAAAGTTTTAAAATTCCTTTAAATTTAAATTGAGTAGTAAAAGTCAATTTCAGTCAGACACAATTTGAATTTCGTTTCAAAATTTGTAAAATTACTGTTAATTTTGTATGAGAAGTAAAAGTATTCGCAATAATTCAGTCTAAACGGTATTAAATTATCGTTTTTTTTTGTTTCTAGTAGTAAAAGTAGTTTTTAATCACAAAATATAGTTCAAATTTCTGTAAATTTAGTGCAAGTAGTAAAATTAGTAAAACTTTTGAAATCAATAAAATTAGTAGTAAGATTATTAAAATTAATAGTAAAATTCATAAACTGAGTAGCAGGATTATTAAAATGATTAAAACTAGTAGTTAAATTAGTAAAATCAATAAAATTAGTAGTAAATTTAGTAATTTGTAGTAAAATTAGTAATTAATAGTAAAATTGGTAATTAGTAGTAAAATTATTGATTAGTAGTAAAAGTAGTAATTAGTAGTAAAAATTAGTAATTAGTAGTAAAATTAGTAATTAGTAAATTTAATAAAGTGAATAAAGTTAGTAATTAGGCAGAATATTTTTTAAATTCAGATATAAATTGACTCTAAGTAGTTAATGTCATTTTAAGTCAGACATCACATAAAAACTTGTAATTTTTCACTCAGTTGTAAACAAAAATAATTTTCTTTTCCTCTCCTGTAATTGAAAAAAAAAGGAAAATAAGAATAAAAGGAAAAAAAGAATAAAAGAAAAAAAGGAAGAAATGAAAGAAAAGAAAAAAAACGATAGAAAAAAGAAATAAAAAAAAAAATTAAACAGCATTCTCAACACCAGGAATGTGAAATTGAGCACATAATGACACATCACATAGTGTGTAAGTAAAATTTTCCTCTAATATTTTTAAGTGTCAATAAAATAAGAAAGTTATTGTTTTGTATATATTTAAGTAGTGTTTATATGCGCAATTTCGCTGTAAAAAAATGTTAAAGTAGTATAAAATAAACAGCATACCTTTGCGCTCGCGAACTAATTAGTTGAAACAATTTTGGTTTCTTGGCAATATTGAGAGTAGCTGAATGCCAGTTCAAGTATCTAGTATATCGAGGATCGTCAGTCGCCGCTTTCTGCCATGGAAGACAACCAGTCAAACAAACGAAAAGTACGATGCCAAATTGCCAAACATCATGGGCCGTAAGTGCTCTATAAAAATGGTTATTAAATTTTTCCCTCGCGCAATTACTTCTTTAATACATATATATATATGGAATTCAAAAAATGATAAATTAGGCAACACTGCATTTATTTCGAGTCTCCAAATTGTTCTCTTTGAAAAAATATTTCAATTTCTTTTCATAATTTTACTTTTTATTTAATTTACTTATTTTTGTCTTTAATAAATATTTCTCTTCACTTATTTTACTATTTTCTGTGTTTGATAAATATTTTACTTTACTTATTTTTACTTTTTTAGTTTTTTTACTCACTTTTTTCTTCAATAAATATTTTTATTATTTTACTTATTTCTCTATTTTACTACTTATTTTTATTTTAATCATTTTCATCTTCAGTAAATATTTTACTTATTTTTACTTCTTTTACTCACTTTTGTATTCAATAAATATTTTTATTATTTTTCTATTTTACTACTTATTTTTATTTCAATTATTTTTTTCTTCAGTAAATATTTTACTTATTTTTACTTATTTTACTTCTTTTTAATTATTTTACTCATTTTTCTTCTTTAATAAATAATTCACTTATTTTACTTCTTTTTACTTATTTATACTAATTTCTGCAACAAATTTTCATATTTTATTTTTCATTTCTCCTTTTTTCAAAAACTGATTTTATTAAAAAAAAAAAAAAAATTAAAAATAATATCGAAAAGAAATGTATAAGAAACAAAAAGAAAAGAACGAAATAAATAAAATAAATTGTGCCAAAGATGAATTAATTCTATATTGCTGGTATAGATGTTATATATACCTGTAAGTTTCGTCAGTCTCTAACTGCAACACTTCCGGTGGTGAATAAGGCAGCCATTCGTTATGTCTACGAACAACTGTATTCCCTCGTCTCGTTTCACCGAAATCGCAAAGTTTTATTCGTGAAAAATCACTTTTAAAAATAAGAATATTATCGAGTTTAATGTCCCGATGAACTAATTCTCGACAATGAATATGATGAACTGCAGCGGCCAATTGTCTCGCTACTCTTTTTGCGTGTAATTCCCCGAGACCAGTTTCCGTCACGTTCGACGTAAGATCTCCTGAAAAATTGAAAAAGAAAAATTACAGAATATTGCGAAAAACATACAAAAATAATGCAGAATTTTATTTTAAATTTTAATTAAATTTTATTAGCGAAAATAAGAAGAAAAATTATTTACTGATTTAGATAATTACCCCCCCCCCCCCTCCCTAAAAAAAAATGTATTTTCACCCAAAAAAAAATAATAAATATTCATAAAAATATAAGAAATAATTGTTAATAAACAAAAATTTATAGATAAGAAATAATAAAGCAGATAATAACAATAAGAAAAAAAATAATAAATAGTCATAAAAATAAAATAAATAATTTATACCTAATAAATAAAACTTTATACATATCAGAAATAATAGAGAAGATAATAATAAGAAGAAAAAAGTAATAAATATAAATTATAAATAAATAAATAATTTTATGAAACAAAAAATGTTAAAAAAAAAAGAAAATAGTAGTAGACATTAAAAATAAATGAATAATTAATAATTATAAAATTTTTATAGAGAATTAATATCGATGAAAAATAAAAATTCGTTTTGAAAAGATTGAAAACAAAGTAGATGAATTTTAATAACGAAACTAATCAATGATTTTGTTTGGCACGCGAGGATAATTATAATTGGCTCAACATTGTATATTGACATTTTGGCGCATGAAATGTATTATAAAGTATTTTTTTTTCTCTTTTTTTTTTGCATTTTATTTTTTTTTTCATTCTCACCAAGTGGTGCATACTCTTGACTGAAGACATAAAAACCAGCCGTTTCGAATGCAATATCATAAGTGGTGATGATATTTCTATGAGCTGATAGATGAAGTCCATAATGGAATTCTCGAAAAAAATCCGAAATACTGGTGTAAGCCTTTGGCAGAGCTTTTAAAACCATTTCCGTTTGAGTGCTACGATGATCAGTCAATAAAATCTTTCCAAACCAACCTTCGCCGACAATTTGAAGAATGTCAAATTCATCAACTAGATTTACCTTCAAAGGAAAAAATAAATATATTTACGTATATTCGCTCAATTCATATTCTATAATATTGTAAATTAATTATTTCTAAAGTACTAATTTTTTATTTATTTTCTTGTTATTTAATTGTTATTTTAATGTTACTTTATTGTTACTTCATTTATTCATAAAATCTTTATTCTTTTAAAAAAAATTAATTAATTAAAAATTGTAGAAACAGATTTTTAGTCGATAATGATAATAATAAATAAAAATTACAAATAAACAAGCTTAAATTCTAACTCACTGAGTCCACTTGAGCGGCACTCTAGTGTATAAATTATTGTCTAAAAGAAATAAATAAATATCAAAGAAAATAATAAGAAAGATAATAAATTAATGTCAAAATTAGGAAATTTGATAATAATAATAGATATAAATTAGAAATAAATAAATAAGCTTAAATTCTAACCCACTGAATCCACTCGAGCGGTGCTCCAGTGTATAAATTACAAATTAAAATAAATATCAAAAAATAATAAGCAAAATAATTAAAAATGTTAAGAATAATAATAAATATTTATAAATAAATAAATAACCAAAAATTTAAGTCTACTGAGTCCGTTCTAGCGACGCTCCAGTGTATAAATTACAAAGAAGATAAATATAAAACTAAATAAGAAACAAATAAAAAAATTAAAAGTCTAGATAAGGAAGAGAATTATAATAATAAATAAAAATTATAAATAAATAAATAAACAAGCTTAACTTCTAATCCAATGAGTCCACTGTATTGGAGCTCCAGTGTATAAATTACAAAAAAAAGAAATAAATATTAAACTATATTTAAAAAAATTAATAAAAATTAAAAGTCTTCATAACAATTACAATAATAATATAAATTATAAATAAATGAACAAGCTTAATCTCTAACCCACTGAGACCAATGGAGCGGTGCTCCAGTGTATAAATTACAAAAAAATAAATAAATATCAAAATAAATAATGAGAATATTAATGAACCAAAAAAATTAAGAAATTTAATAATAATAGTAATAATAATAAATAAATAAACAAGCTTAACTTCTAACTCACTAAATTTAGTATAAATATAAAAAATTTATATTTTAGCATAAATTACAAAAATATAAATAAATATAATAAGAAAATTAATAAAATAAAAAAAATTAAGAAAATTCATTAAAATAATCTTTGTATTTCATTCTTTTAATCTGTCTGTCGCCACTTTGAAGTTAGTTTTTGTGTATGCTTTTGTTTTTTTTTTCTTTAAAAAATATTCTTTGACAGATCGACAAATTGCAGGTATTTTTTCATGATTTATAATAAAACATAAAACAATATTTGAAATTAGAAAATATAAAAAAATTATGATTAACAAATAAATTTTGTTTATTATATGCTTTTTTCTATAAAAAATTTCGATTGACTGATCTAAATTATGCAAATTTTTCTCCTTTTTATTTATAAAAAATAGAAAATTGTTAATTGTTAAAAAATTATAATTAAGAAACAGGAAATATATCCATTTTATGCATAATTTATATTTTTAATAACAATACTGGTCAGAAATTCATTCTTTTCTTTTGGATAAGAAACATTACATATTCTCATCTATTTGTCAATTACAAATTTTAGTTGAAAATGAAATTGAAACTTTTTAAATTTTTTAGAAAATAGAGGAAAAAATTTTACTCAAAAAAATGTTCTGTTACATTTATTTACGAATTTCTTTAATTGTAAAATTATTCGAAAACATCAATAACTTTTTTTTAAAATAAATATTTAATCAATATTATTTTTCCATAGGAATTAAGAATTTCAAAAATTTCAAATTCAAATCTTTTTAAATTCAATAATTTATAAGAATATTTTTTTATAAAACATGAAGATAGCGATTTCTCCGAGTCGAAGACTCGGAGTGATCGATTTCTTCATGTTTTATTAATTATTAAAGATGACCGAGTGATAAAATCTTTTTTTTTTATATTATAAGAATATTATTACAGTAACTTTTTCAAAATTATTTTCATCATTTCAAATCAATTATTATTTTTTTACTATTTTTAATTATTTTTTCTGAAAATAATTGAAAAAATTTTATTATTTATAAAAATAATTTAAATATTGAGAAGGAATTTATAAAAAATTGATAAATAATTAAATTTCTGAGAAATTTTTATTATTTATGAAAATAATTAAATGTTTGCGTATTATTTTTGGGAATTTGAAAAATTGATTTGAAAATAATTATTGAACTTTGGGGAAGAATTTTGTTATTAATAAAGATAATTGGGATTTTGACGAGAAGTTTTTTTTTAAATTTGAAAGATAATTATTTGTAATTTTTTCAAAATTGAAAATTATTGAAATTCGAAAAGTTTTTAAAAATAATTGATATTAGAACAAAGAATTTTTTTGAAGTTTATGAAAATAATTGAACTTTGCAGAAGAATTTTGTTATTTATAAAGTTAATTGGGATTTTAACAAGAATTTTTTTCAAATTTTAAACATAGTTGAATTTTATAAAAAGAATATTATTTTTCTTGAAAATAATTGAATTTCTGCAATTATTTGTAATCTCTCCAAAATTGAATTTTTTTTAGTGTTTTCAATAAAAATTTAAATTAAAAAATTTTTAAATAAAAAATTACAAATTATTACAAATTTTTAAAATTGCTAATTTTATTTTTAAAAAAGTCAGTAAGAAGTTGCTCGTTGATAATAATAATAAAAATAAATTATAAATAAATAAGTTCTAAAAAGTCCTAGAAAAACTCCAAATATAAATTTTATTTTTAAATTTCTAACATCTCAAATATAATTTATTTACCTATTTATATAATTTAGTTATTAATACAAAAAAAATTAATTGCAAATAGTTTTATTTTTTATTTTCCGATGACATGATTGCGGTTAATGTAATTATAAAATAGAAATGAAAATAAATCAATTCGTATTAAAGTTTCACTGAGAGGATAAACTTTTTTAAAAGCATAATAAATTATATATAAGATTTTTAAGGAGTGATAAGTTTTAAGATGCTTCGGGAGTTTGTGAATGTTTTATACATTGGATTGAGATTTTAATGGCAAGAGCTGTAGCAAAACTATTCAAGTTATGGTCCTTATAAATAGAACCCTCTTTGCACTATATGGCTAATAAGAGAGATTAAAAAATTTCCCCGCAAGATTTAATTATATTTTCAAGACAGGCATTAAAAGAACTTTTTTCAAAAAAAAAAAAAAAAAAAAAAATCTTCCTGAATTATTTTTATTGCAAAAAATAAAAATTTTTTCAAATAATTAAATATAAAAATTATATTCTTCATTTTAGGTACTTTATTAATATTACGGCAAATAAAAATTAGCTGATAAACAAAAAAATAAATGATCTAAATTTTAATGTTTCAATAATGATTTCGCACTTGAAAGTAAAGTGTAAAATTAAAATTAGCTTTTACATAAATTTATAAAAATAAATTGTATTAATAATAATTAATTAATGAAAGAATGAATAATAAAAAATTGAAATAAATAAATTGTCTATATTTTAATTATATTTAATAAATGATTTTATATTCGAACTTTTTTGTGATTTATAAATCATAAAAAGAGTGTAAAAAATAAAAAGTGGCTTTTGCGGTGGAGAATTTTTTTTTTCTCTCTTGAAAATTGTTAACAATTAAAAATGAAAAAGTAGAAGAAAATGGATTCCATAATCTATAACGCATTGTCTGAATATTTCAACAGCCATTGAAGAATGCTGGTTTAATGCCAGGAAAAACGATGAGATTGCAAGCGCGTTCTTCGCAAATGTATAAATGTTATACACGTATCGCATACTATTTCGGGTTTGTTCTCTGGAAACTAGCTGAGTGCATTTCAACGCGAACTTATATTCACATCACTATACCTATATATAAATTGTCACACTTTTTTAATGTAACACAGAAAATTTAGATGTCATTAGGGAACAATGATGAAAAAAAGGTGTCAAAATTTTATCTTTTTTTACTTTTTTATATTATTTTCTCCCTCACATTATTGCTCCTGAAATTATTCATTTTTAAAAAAATTAGTATTTAATTTCTTCCAGTAAAAAATATATATATAAGTGTTTTCTTTTATTTTTATTTTATTTGACTCAAATAAATTATATATTTGATTTGAATAAAATTTTTTTCTGAATGTAGAAAAAAATTATAACATAAAGAAATATTATTATATAATTATATTATTTATTATTATTACTTTATTTGTAATTTTATTATATACTGAAAAAAATTATTTGATTCAACGAACCGATTACTTGTCTGTTATCAAATAAATATTTACTTGAATCAAATAATTTTTATTTAAATCAAATAAATTTTTATTTGAACCAATAATTTATTATTTAAGCCTTTTTATTCAAAATAATTAATTAGATTATATACTTATAATAAATTTTTAAGCATAGAGGAATTAATATTTAATACAGTATTAAATATACTATAACGTTAAAATAGATGTTGTATAAAATTTTTATTGACTGTTTCGTAGTGTATAAAATTTTGAAATGATAATCAATTTTTGTTTGCGTTACAATCACCATTAATTTATATGTATATATATATGTACAATAAAAATTGGCGACTGTCCATGAAAAGCCATGTGGAGCGGACGTTTACCTCTTATTATTATTATTATAGTTTCCCGCAGACGGAAAAATATTTTTTATTGAAACGAAGACGATCTTTGTCAGAATGGCTAAACAAAATAAAACATTTATGTGTATGTCACTTTGTAATTTAATAATTTATCATTTATGTTCTGTTTTTATAATTCCGAAAATAAAAATCATTCAATTTGAACTTTTTATATTTTACAATTATGTAAAATATTTCTTCTTTTTTTCAAAATTTCAATTTTTTTAATTATTTATATTTTGAAAAATTTTTATTTTTTATTTTTTTATTTTTATTTTTATTTTTAAAAAAATATACAGCTTGTCCGGTAATTTCTAAATAAATAAAAAATTTGTTTTCTAATAATAAATGTACCAGCAAAAATAAAAAATAATTAATAATGCATTTCTAAATATAACAAAAATTTAAAAAATTTAAAAACACGATTTCAAATGTATCCAAAAAACAGTTTTACAATTTTCGCAATAAAGATACTATAAAGTATATAGGAAATAAATATTTTGTAAAGATGGTACTTATTAGTAATGAACTAATAAAGTTTAGTAACGTCGATATTATATCGGAACGAGGTTATAAAAGCAGAGAAAATAGTACTTTTTTTTATTGATTTTACAAGAAAAAAAATAATAAAAAAATAAAAACACAATTTACTTCCACTTTAATGCTTTTTATTTTTTATTATTTTCATAAATAAAAGCAACTCGACCTCTTTTTCTAAAAGATACATAAATAATATTTATTTCTACAATTTTTAATCTTATAGAGATTTATAAAAATGAAAATATAACATTAAAACGAAATCGATAAGAAATAACGAGAAGTGAAGAATACTAAAAAAAAAACTACAAGTATAAATAATAAAATTGAAATTTTTCCAAATAAAAAAAAAATTTCTTGATGAAATTAATAAAAGTAATTAATTATTATTTTTTGGAAAAAAACTAATAAAACAAACTATCTTTTTGTAAAAGATGTTAATTATCATTAAAAAAATAACTAATTTTCATTAAAGAAAGTAATTAATCATTCGTGAAAAATAAGGAATTTTTATTAAAACATTTTTAACCGTTAGCAAAAAAATAAATAATATTTATTAGAAATTTAATAAACCGTTAGTGACAATAACAAATTTTTAGTAAAAAAAATAATTAATCGATAGTAAAAAATAGTAAAAATTTATTGAACAATAATTTGTAGTAGGTAACAATACTTCCTCTATTAGGAAGCAAAACTAATTTTAAGTAAAAAAACAAAGAATCGATAATAAAAAATAGTTAATATTTATTAAAAAAATAATTTACCGTTAAAGAAATACCTAATTTTTATTTTAAAAAAAATAATGATTATATTATTAATATAAATGAAAAAATCGATAGTAAAAAAATATGTAATATTTCATTTAAAAAAATTAATCGTTAGTTAAAAATAACTAGGTAATATTTATACGAGAAAAATAAGTGAAAAAGATTAGTCAAAATTTGAATAATTGAAACAGTTATTTTTGTTATTTTCACGCATAAACACAAAAAAGAAACAAATGTAGCTAATTAATCATTTTTAACTAAATTATCATCAAGAATTAATATTTTAAAAATGAACTCCGCAACGTTTTTAAAAAAGAAATTTTTTCCAATTAAATTCATTTAATTTTCATTTACTTAGATTTTCAAGAAACTTGTTATTTTTGTTACAAAAAAAATTGTTACTAAAAAAACAATTGCTAAAAAAAAACATGAATTTCTTTAATTGTAAAATTATTCGAAAGCATCAATAACTTCTTTTTTAAATAAATATTTAATTAATATTATTTTTTTACAGGAATTAAGATTTTTAAAAATTTCAAATTCAAACCTTTTTGAAATTAAAGAACTTATAAAAGTTTTATCATTATTACCTAAGAATATTATTACTGTAACTTCTTAAAAATTATTTTCGTCCTTTCAATTCAATTATTATTTTCTAGAATTTTTCACTAAAATTCATCTCTAAATCAACTATTTTTAATAATTTTTGAAAAAGTTCTTTGTGAATTTTCAAATATGTACATTTGTTTAAAATTCAATATTACGAAATTTCGATTACTCATCAGAAATTCTTTAATTAAATGCACTGTAAGACAAATTTTGAAAATTTTCCCAACAAAATTTATAGGAAGCAAATTACACTAATTATTTAGAAAAAATTTACTAACATAGATAAGGGAATTTTTCCAAAAAGATTATCGAAAACTTCCTATAAATTTAGAAACATTCTCATGAAATAGTGGGTAGAAAAAATTACAAAAGTTTTGGAAAAATTCTCTTAAACGTTTAGAAAAACTTCTTTATGAAAATATGGGAAATATTCTGAGAATTTCGAAAAATTACCATAGTTGAAAAAATTTCCATGTAACTTCAAATTATTTTTAAAAAATTAAATTAAACTTTTTGAAAAAAATTAATTTCTCAAAATTGCCAGTTATATGAAAAATTCAATTTTTCAAATATTTTAATTTGAAACCTTTTCAAAATTATTCAGTTATTTAAATACAAAAGTATATAATTTATTGAATAATTGAATGTTTTTCAAAATTTAATTCTTATAAAGAATTTTTATCAACAAATTTTTAAATAATTGAATTCTTTTGACGAATTTTAATCAAATTTTTAAGAATAATGACATTTTTCGAGGAATTTGATGAAAATTGTATTAAAAATAATTGAAATTCTGCGAATATTATAAATATTACTTATAGAAAAAATAATTGAATTCTTTGGAAATTTTTTTTTTTTAAATATTTTCGAATTCTTTTGGAAAATTTTATTCAAATTAAAACAGTAGATATATATTGAAAATCATTGATTTGATGGAAATTTTTGGAATAATTGAAATTTCGCCAAGAATTTTATTATTTATAAAGATAATTGATATTTTAACAAGAATTTATAAAAGTTTTTGAACATAATTGAAATTTTGTAAAAAGTATTTTATTACTTTTGAAAATTATTGAATTTTTGCAAACATTTGTAACTTCTCCAAATTCAAATTTTTTCAAATGTTTTTAACAAAAATTTTTTTTTTATAAATCCATTATTTTTAATAATTAATTAAGTATATATTGCCAAATTTAACTAATTTCAAGAAGAATTTGAATTATTACAATTTTTCAAAAATCTAAGTTTTTTAAAGTTTCTAATTAAGTTCATTAAAAAATTAAAATTTTATCAAATTTCAAATTAAAGCCTTTTGAAATTCATCTATATTTATGAAAATTGTAAACTCAATTCTTTTAAAAGTCAATTAATATTGAAATGTTTAAGTAAAATTATTCATTAATAAAATTATTCATCAATTTATAAGTAATAATTGTAATTGTATAATAATTTACTTTTATTTTACAATTAATTCAAAATTGTAATGACAAGTAGAAATCATCAGAATTTTTTTCACTTCTTTTCATTAAAAGACTAAAATTTTCTTAAATATTATATATATTATGTTTTGTCAAATTGAAATTATGCAGATTTTTGTTCCTTACTTCTAAATAAAATTAGAAAATTGTTAAACAACTGTGATTAAGAAATAGAAAATTTATTTATTTTCCATTATTTTTGTTTATGAATAACAATTTTTTTAAAAAAATTATTATTTTGTTTTAGAAAAAGAAGAAAAAAATTTGCACAATTTCTATTTTTAATCTTATTTTTGGAACAGGATTTTCCACAGGAATTAAGACATTCAAAAATTTCAAATTCAAACCTTTTTTAAATTAAACAAATTATAAAAGTATTTTTATAAAACATGAAGATATCGATTGCTCCGAGTCGAAGACTCGGAGTGATCGATTTCTTCATGTTTTCTAATAATTAAAGATGACCGAGAGATAAAATTATTATTTTATATTCTAAGAAAATTGTTACTGTAACTTTATCAAAATTATTTTCATCATTTTAATTCAATTATTATTTTCTAGAATTTAAAATTATTTTTTATGAAAATAATTGAATTTCTTGAAAAAAAATTATTATTTATGAAAATAATTAAATGTTTGCATACAATTTTATTAAATTTTTTTTTAAATAATTGAATTCTTTTTGGAAAATTTTATTAAAATAAAATTGAAAAAAATTTTATTGAAAATCATTGAAATTAGAAATTTTTTTGAAAATAATTAAATTAAGACAAAAATTTTTTTGACATTTATGAAAATAATTGAACTTTGGAGAAGAATTTTGTTATTTATAAAGATAATTGGAATTTTTTTCAAATTTTGAACATAGTTGAATTTTATAAGAATTTTTTTTTTAAATAATTGAATTTCTGCAATTATTTGTAATTTCTCCAAAATTGAATTTTTTTAGTGTTTACAATAAAAATTTAAATTAGAAAATTTTTTAATTATATTATTTTTAAAATTTCTAATTTTATTTTTAAAAAAAGCAGCAAGAAGGTAGTCACGCGCTTTAGCGCGGGAATTGTTACTATAGTAATTTAATCTACAATCTATTTAAAGTTAACAAAAAATTTTATTTTTATGAAAAAATTTGAATTAAAAATTTTTTAATTTTATTATTTTTAAAATTGCTAATTTAAAAAAAAAAGAAAAGCAGTAAGAAGTTAGCCGCGCGCTTAAGCGCGCGAACTGTTACTATAATAATATAATGTAACAATCTATGTAAAGTTATCAAAAAATTTTATTTTTATAAAAAAAAAAATTTGAATTAAAAATTTTTTAATTGTACTTTTTTTTAAAATTACTAATTTTATTTTTAAAAAAAGTATGTAAGAAGTTAGCGGCGCGCATTAAAGCGCGAATTTATTTGCTAGTTTAACAATTAAACAAATGAAAAGAAAATTTACTTATAATTTGATAATTTAAAATAAAAAAAAAAAGTAAATTTTTTTTTACCACCCTCTCTTATTGCATTACCTTTTCCAATTCAAATTCTCGTATCCTGTGAATGGATCCCCCTATGGCCTTCTTGGTCAGACTCATCCTTATACTTTTCCACTACACTTGCACTTCCGCTTTCTGAATCAACGTAATTTTACACTCGAGTGCTGTAATTCACGAGGCACTACATCCTGATACTTAGTTTGAGCTGCGTGCGTCAAATTTCATTGTGACGAATCCGCACCAGGTGTGTTGGTTTATGTGGTTTCGTCGATATACAGCAATTTTGGCGCCTTGCCCAAATACAATTTAATTTTCATAAACAATTTCTCCTTATTCGAGAAATAATAATAATTTTTACGTTTATTATAAAAATGTAGTTAAAATTTTAAATTAAAGTAAATTAGAAGAAAAAAATTAATAATAGAAAAATTATTTAATTATATTATATTACACAAAAAGTATATTTTCAAATTTTTCATGTATTATGTTTATGTATTATTATTTTATGTTGTATTCCAAATAATTGCACAATTCCCAATTAATTCGAGTCCATTGATATTTTTCTCACGAGAAGCATCCATTTTTTTTGGCCGCATTATTTCTTCTGATTTATTCTTCAGTTCGTGTTGATTCATTCCACCTTTTTTTTGGGAGGGAGAAATGAGAAAAAATTATTATTACTGTAATAATTATTTGACAATTTATTTAATACTAGAAAATTATTAATGTATAATAAATTAATAAATATAACAAAATAAAGATGAAAATAATAATAATATTCATAATAATAATAAAAATATTATAATAATAACAATAATAAAAATAATACTTAATTTGAATTTAGAGAGAACGAGAATAAAATTTTTATAAATGTAAAAATAAAAATTATTGTTTTTTTTAATTTTTACTACCGCGAATAAAAGATCATACTTTTTGTTCTTTTTAATTCAATAAAAGAAAAATATTCGGTTTATTGCACTTTAGAGGGAACTTGAGGGAGAATATTGAAAAAATAAATAAATTTTTTGATGAGGAGTGTTTCTTGCGATGTTATATTCAGTTGCATAAGTGTAGAGTCTTTGGTTGCCAATTACTGCAAAAACAATACTGCAAAGATAATATAAAAGTGGCGCCTTGGCATTTCAAATCTTCTAAAAGCATTATTGATAAATTTATAACAAGAGTACAGCTAATCGAACGAATTTTCTTTTAATTTCCCTCATTATTTTTTTAGAAAATTTAATAATATAAATATATGCAAAATCTCTTCAAAAAACAATCCTCATTTAATTAACTCTTAAAAATCTATACCACTCTTCATTTATAACTTTCCCTTTATTGAATAACTCATTTCCGCTCGCAGAAACCACTCCTATGTAATTTAATTCATGTTATTAATAATTTTATATTCTACGTATACAATGTATGCGTATAATGACCTAATTTGAAGAAATTTACAATTTTCAAACATCTGTGATTTTCGGAGAAAAGAAATCAATTTTAAATTATTAAAAAATAACTTTATGTGGAATTAACTTTTCGAATATTGCATGGAGAAAAAAATGCTTTTAAAAAAATTAAATGGGTTAAAATTTGTTTGATATTTATAAGGAACAGCTATTTTTTAGCACATAGCAAACAATGCTGAAAATTAGCTAATAATTAGCTTTTACAGTAAAAAAAAAAACAATTAAATTTCCTGACTTAGAATTGACTCTAGAATTTTCAACTAAAATTCTTCTTTAAGTTAATTTTTTTTTAATTTTGAAAACTTTATTGTTTATTCTTTGTGAATTTTTAAATTCTTTTGTTTATAATTTAATTTTACGATATTTCGATTCTTCTGACATTCTTTAATTAAATGTATTAGAAATTAAAAACTTTAAATAATTAAAAAAAAAATTCCATTAAACTTATTGAGAAAAATTAATTCTATAGAATTCTTAATTAAAAGTATGAAAAGTTCAAATTTTCAAAGATTTTAATTTGAAATTCATTTTTAAATAAATATTTATTAGAAAATTCTACGAGAATTCAATTATTTTTAACTATAAAAATAAATATTTTATTAAACAATTGAATGTTTCTTAAAATTGAATTTTCATAAAGAATTTTATCAACAAATTTTTAAATAATTGAATTCTCTTGACAAATTTTAATAGAATTTTTAAGAATAATAATTGCATTTTTCAAGAAATTTAATGAAAATTGTATTAAAAAGTAATTGAAATTCTGCCAAGAATTTTATTATAAAAGTTTTGAAAATAATTGGATTTCGGAAAAAAAGAAAAATCTTTATAAAGATAATTGAAATTTTAACGAGAATATTTTAAAGTTTTTAAACTGAATTATAGATTTCTGCGAAGAATTTTATTAAAATTATTTTGAAAAATATTGAATTGTTACGCAAAGAATTGCATTAAAATTTTTGAAAATAATTTTATTCTTTAAAGAAATTTAATTGAAAATTCATTGAAAATAATACTTAAATTCTAATAAATAAATTGTAGCAAAGGTTTTTAAAATAAATCAATTTCTTTGATAAATTTTAATAAAATTTTTAAGAATAATTACATTTTTCGAGGAATTCCATTAAAATTGTTTATTCAAAATAATTGAAATTCAGCATTGAGATTTATTATTTATGAAAATAATTGATTGCCTGTATAGAATGTTATTATTTATAAAAATAATTAATTAATAATTTATGAAAATAATTTGTAAATAATTGAATTCATGTAAAATTTGTATAATTTATGAAAATAATAAAATGTTTTTGTAGAATTTTATTAAAAAATTTTTTAACTAATTAAATTCCTTTAGGAATTCTTATTAAAGTAGTAGATATTAAAAATCACTGAATTGAGGAAAATTTTTGAATATGATTAAAATTTTGCCAAAAATTTTATTAAAATTTTCGAAAATAATTGAATTTTTGAGAAAAAATTTTACTATACTTTTGAAAATAATTGAATTTCTGCCAAGAATTATATTAAAAGTTTTGGAAATAATTGAATTTCGGTGAAAAATTTTATTATTTATAAAGATATAATTGAAATTTTGACGAGAATTTTTGAAAATTTTTAAACATAATTGGATTTCTGCAAAGAATTTTATTAAAAATTATTTTGAAAAGTATTGAATTGTTATGCAAAGATTTGCATTAAAATTTTTGAAAAAATAATACTTAAATTCTTATAAATAAATTTTAGCAAAAGTTTTTTTATTAACTAATTGAATTCTTTTAGGAATTTTTATTAAAGTAGGTAGTAGATATTAAAAATCATTGAATTGAAGAAAGTTTTTGAAAATATTAAAAATTTTGTCAAGAATTTTATTAAAATTTTTGAAAATAATTGAATTTCCGCAATCATTTATAATTGCTTTAAAATTCAATTTGTTTTAGTGTTTTTAACTAAATTTTTTCTATAAATCCATTATTTTAAAAAGTACTTAAAATATTTATTAATTAAAATTTAACTAATTACAAAAGAATTTTAGTTTTTACAATTTTTTTTTAAATTTAAGTTTTTTTTTTGATATTTTTAATAAAATTCATTTAAAATTGAAATTTTACAAAATTTGAAATGAAAATCTTTTGAAAAGTTTATCTACTTATGAAAATTGTAAACGCAATTCTTTTATAATCGTGAATTAATTTTGAAATATTTAAGTGAAATTAGATTTTAAGAATAAACACAAACTAGTAGAAAAATAAACAATTTTCCAGGATTTCGATCAAAATTCCCTGACTTTTCAAGGTTTTTTCAAAGTTTATAAAAATTCCCTGACATTTCCAGGTTTCCAGGTTTTCCAGGTTTTCAGGTTGCGTAACAACCGCCTGTAAGTATTAGCGAAAATGTTTACTAAATTGAATTAATGGATGACTTTTTACTAATTCAAATAGTTATCAAATAATATAAAATAAATTTTTACAAATTCAGACAGCAGATTTAGAGAATACAAAAACGAATTTATTTAACGATAATATAATTATTATTTTAAAAAATTTAATTATTTAAAATAAAGAATACTTTACAAAAAAGGCCGTTTTACTCTACTTGTAAAACTCTTTGGTGACCTTTTGTATAGCTATTGTTAAAACCTATTGTATAAAATAGTTGCGCATAATGAGGATTATATAAAAAAAAATACTAAACTTTTATATAAATCGTAAATAAAAAAATTTTCTTTCACACAAATTATTATATTCAATATAGAAACTTTATAGTCTAAAAATCAAATCTTTTAAAATGCATCTATTTTGGAACTTACATTTATTATCCATGCTTTCTCAACGCACAGAAATACACATTTCGACGTGGATGACATATTATTGGATAACTATAATGATCGTGTCAAGGGAGAGAAAAAAATAGTAAATTTTTGCCACAAAAATTGAATTCTTTTTTTTTTTGTGGGCAAAATTAATTATAGAAATTAATACAAAAACAAAACGGTCTTTTTTTTTTGTTCTAAAACAATTATAATATCCTGAAGAGAAAATTATACCGAGTTTTCACGTCGACATAGTGTTCGGTGCACTCTCTTACTGTCTGCAGTATTTATAAAACCGACCGGAAAGCAACTGAGCTGATTTTGGCGTCGAGCCGGCTTGGCCGATTTACCCCGCGACGTCGACGTCGTTTGACGACGTTTTCGTCTTCTACTACTGCTTCGTATGTTCTTCTACTTCTTCTCCATCATCATCTTCTTCTTCTTCTTCTTCTTCGGTGAGGCCCAGCCACAAAAGAAATGAGTGCGCCAGTTCAACATGTGTTTATAACATTTTCCAAAGAAACTTATACAATTTTGGATTTTTTCTTACAAGGTAAGTGAGAAAAAAAGAAATTTTTTTTTTTATATATATTAATCTTAAAAATATTTTTTCCATTCTTTGTTTCTTTTTTTAAACAAATTTTTCTAATTTAAACAATCACTTTTTTTTATTTAGAAAAAATAATTTCCCAATTTTTAATCTCTTGTGATGAGAAACTGCATTTCTTTATTTAGGTCAGCGATATTATTTTAAATATAACTATACACTTTGTTTTCATATTTACAGCACCGCTTTCTTCATTTTTAGGTCAAAAGTTTAGAGTGATAACTTTTATTATTTATTGTTATTATAATTATTTATTATAATGTTGTTATTTGACGTAATAATTTCTAACATTCCAATATTTTTAATTTACTTAATTACTTGCTTCTTTTTTCATTTTTAAAAATTTTTTAACTTTACAAAAATTTTTTTTTAATTTTGATTTTATTTATAATATTTATAATTATTTAATTTTTTCTAATATTTTATTTTTTTATTATAATTATAATATTATTAACCAAAATTATATTAAATATATTCTTTACTACTTCCAGGAAAAAATTTTTGTTGATTTGAATAAATCATTTATATTGACTTGTTTTTTTTTTAAATAAATTAATTGTTTTTGAATCAAATAAAATTTCTTTATGTCTTCGAAGACTTAAAGAAATTTTATTTGATTCAAAAACAATTAATTTATTTCAAAAAAAATTTCTTTGAATTCTTTGAATTAAAAACTCTATTTTTTTTGTCTATTATTAAATAAACATTTACTTGAATGAAATAATTTCTATTAATTAAATCAAATAAATTGTATATTTGAAGCAATAATTTCAATATTATAGAAGCGAATACTAATTAATTTGAGTAAAAATTATTTTATTCAAACAAATATTTAATAATAGACAAAGACAAAAATTTATTTCAATAAAATAAATATTTTTAGTGTATTACAAATAATTAACTTTTTTATTCAAAAACGTTAAATTTTTAACAAAATTCAATTTAATTTACTCACTAAATTTTAATTTGTGAAAATTTAGCTTCCAATTCACAGTATTAAGAACTAGTTTTAGTTTTTTAGTCATTTTCCACTAATTTAAATTTAAAAAGTAAATTTTTTATTTAAAAAATAATTTAATTTATAAATAATTTTATTCACTGTTATTTACATTTAATAATTTTCAATTTAATTTATTTAAAAATAAATTTTAAAAATAAAAATAGACTAAAAATTATTGAAATATATTCAATTTTTTCTGAATTGATCAATTTTAAAATGTTTATTTTTATTTCTTATTTATTTATTTATTTATTATAATACTAGGGTAGGGTGGGGCATTACTATTCTTGTTTGGATTTTTGAGTCTATAAAATGTATATAAAAAAAAATAAAAAAATGAGTAGAACCGTTTGAAAGCTTGACTTCTTAGCTACAATTTTGCCATGTATCATTTTGCTGTAACTCGATTCTGTTCCGAACTACAGCGATTTTACGAAAAAAAAATTTTTTTGATGTCGAAAAAAACGAGGGGCGTAACTATTCTTGCAGCTATTAATGATATAATACTAAAAAAATATATAAATTAATTTGTTAATTGGAGGATTTTTTCTGGTTTTTTTCTGACAATTTCTTACCATTCTAACCTAGAAACAAGGAGAATAAAAAAAAATACACTGTTTTGTAGTTTTTGCTGTCATCAGTGGAAGAATAGTTACGCCCCATCCGCCCATTTTTTGAAAAAACACTTGTAAAATTTTTGAACAATAGAATATCAAAAATCCATTATGATATTCGTGTTCAGCACTAAATTTGACTTTAGAAATAATTTTTCCGATAATTTTTCCGACCGTTTATCACTATTTACAATGGCAGACTAAATGAGTGAAAACAAGTAAGCGAGTATATCAAAATCACATTTGGGTACCTAACTCCAATGATAGATGGCGCCAGAAGCTCAAATGTGGCGTACAATGTTCATTTCACATGACAAGTATACAGTGTAAAAAAAACTTTAATCGGATGAATAGTTTTCTCTCCAGGACAAAGAATAGTTACGCCCCGCGAATAGTAATGCCCCACCCTACCCTAATTATAACAATATAAAAATTTATTACATAAAATTAAAATTATAAATTACATTAAACCTAATCTTACAATTTGAATTAGCTAAAAATAACTAATTTGTCAGTAAAATTTTACAAATAAAATAGATAATAACAAATTATTAGTTAAAAATTCCATTGTTACGTCAAAATAACTAAAATCTTAATTTAATAAATTTAATTTTTAATTTAAAAAAAATTTTTTTTTAATTTTTAATATAATTAGTAAAACTTGACTATATTTTCGTAATTATTTATTAACTATTCACTAGTTTTTTGCAACTAGTAATTAGTTATTTATTTAATAATAATTAGTTATTTTATATTAATAATTAGTTATATTCTTAACAATTTTTTTTACTAATTGCTGAAGCAGAAATCAGTAAAAATTTTACTATTAGTTATTTTTAACTATTTATTAATTATTTTAATTTCTTATTATTATTTTATATTCAAATTTCTTATTTTTATTTCCTAATTTATTATTCCCATTTCTTATTGTTTATTAGACCAAAAAATTAAAATATCATATTTTTATTTAAGAAAACAATTTTTAATTAATTTATTGCTTAAAAATTGTTTACAAAAATTGAAAAATTATTCATTAATACACCAAAAAGAATGTGTGGTTTTTTTGTCATAAAATAAAGAAACGAAAGAATTTCTATTAATATTTGACAATTCATTCAAAATATTCACGTCAATTTTTCGAGAATATACATCTATTTGTTGAATCTATAAAAATGATTTAACATTTCCTTGAAATCAGGAAACACGCTCTTTTAAAATGAGTCAATCTCTTGAAATATTTCAAAAGTTGGTTTTAATAAATTTATTGTTTTCCCGGCTGTTCAATTTAAAATAAACCTATAGCGTCATCTTTGCGAAGAGAAAGGAACTTTTTTTTCCCTTCAACACTTATCGACGATAGGAATCAGAGAATTCTGTCTCAAATTTTCACTGGATAAGGAATTTAATTAAAATTATTGCTATTTTTATTATTATAATTATCATAGTAATAATAATTATTATTATATTAATTATTATAATTAAAATTAGTATTACAATTTTATTTTATTTTATTAAATTTAGCTGAAGGAAAGAAGTTCTCTTCCTAACCAACAATACTATTGAATTAAAACACAAAAAACAAAACACCTAATAATTTTTTAATAATTAAAATAAATACTTCTAATTATCTTTTACAATATTTTATTAAATAAATATTTTTTTTACCGTAAATATCACTTTTTTGAAATATTTTTAGAGTATTTTTCAAAAATAAAAAGTATTTTAATAATTATAATAATTAATTTCATTTTTCTTTCATTATAATACCTTCATAAAAATTATAGAACTTGTAAAGATTTTTTTCTTCGTAAAAAGAAAATTTTTTTGTTTAATTTTTTATTTTCCAAAATTTTTTATTTATTTTTTAATTTTTTATTTCAAAAGTTAACAATTGAATTTTTCTAATTTTTTACAGTTGCTTAATTATTAAGCAATTATTGTATTAATTATAAATTAATTATACATATATTAATAATAATAATAAAAATAATTTTTATAAAAATAATAATAAATTATAATTATTATTATTTTTATCATTATTATTATTAGTAATTAATAATATTATTTATTTTAATAATATTTTTTATTATTATTACTATTATTATTAATTAAGCTAAAAAAATAAAAATCTATTAGTAACTTTTTTTCAAATTTTCCCGCCGCCATCAGGAAGTACAGTCCTTTACCGCAAGAGGCACTGCAATCGCCAAGTCGCGACAGTTCGCGTCAAAATTTTATAGTTTCGTGCCGTCAACCGTCATTGTAAACCGTACTAGTGAGTTTCGTCGTGTAATCCATATAATGATCCTTGTTTAATAATCTAGAAAAACAATTCACGTTGACAAACACAAAATATAGGATCATTTTTGTTGATGTGAAACAATTACATCAGTGAAGTGCGCGATTTGACCTCAGGACGACGACGAAACCAAGGAAAACGAGTTTCACCTGAAGGAATAAGAAACTCGAATAACAAGGTTTTGTGTAGTGTGTGCTTTTCTAAATTTCCACAGATTGCAAAAAAAAAGAAACGAATAAAATAGAGATTAAAAAATTATTCACAATCAAAAAAAAAAGTCTTCGAGACACAAGTAGTCGACTGTAGTCTAAACTGCTGAAATCGAGACGGAAGGAGACACAGAAGGGAGATCCGGTAAGAGGGTGGGCGACCGAGGAAGCGGGGCCAGCGGCCTCCGGACGAGAAACAGTGATCACTACACGACTTGTATAAAGCTTATAGAGTAGGAAAGATAGAAAAAGACAGCTGCATTCAATGAGATGAGCCAAGAAGTTTAAACAGTGCCAAGTGTAAACATTAACGTGTGTGTGCATGTATGTGTTTATTATTATTTAAAAGAGAAAAGTTCTTACGTGAAAAATTATTCATTATTTAAGTGTTCGTGAAAATATAATCCCCCCCTGCTTAGGGAAAACAACTGGTCAAGAAAAATTAATTTCAATTTTCCCAATAAAAAAAAAAAGTGTGACGATTATTTGTGTTGACCTGACAATAGGTGGTGGACGCCTCTAAGAAGGCGCGGTGTGCAAACCAACGGTACGTGGCGAAACACCACGAATTCGTGCGAATCAAGGAAGAGAGAGTTCCTGGTTCTGTTTTGGAATTTATTCGACATGCCTCACTTACACCAATGACAACCCTGAGGAAAAAAGTGTCAAGGTGCAAGCTGGAATTTCAAGTCTAGCCGAAAAGGTAATTGTCAAATGACACGAAATATTATGTACTTTTTTCCTTTTATTTTTATCGAAAACAAAAACTTTGAGATCGATATTCTCTTTCTAGTTTTACGATATGTAGTTTTAGGGAAAAATTTTTATTACAACCATTGTGTTGGTGATGTAAACAAACATGTGCACACACACACATGTTCTTCACGTTTCTAGAAATTCTAAACTTTTCTACATACCATGAAGTGTTAATTACAATACCTTCGGGTTTTTTTTTTGAATTTTTTTCTAGATATAAAATCTGTATTTTTAGAAACAAAAAAAATCGAAAAAACAAATTGCCTCTCTTTTCAACGAAGCTCACTTTTATAAAGACTGGATCAAATTTCCGACTTACATAAATATCATCCTCTTCATGCCTTAAAAGATTGTTGTATTAGATTACTGAGGCAAAATCTTGTATTTTTCATGAATATTTATTGGAGAAAATATTGTGAATTATTTTTGTGTCAAGTAACTCGAATATGGCAATTTTTTTCAAGTCACAGACAACTTTTTTCTGTATTTGAATAAAAAGAACTGTAGTGACCTACAGTTCGTTTAAATGAACAAAAATATTGTTACTTCTTTGAATTTGAATTTTATTACAAAGTATTGTTTTTAATATAATTTAAAAAATGAAAATATACGAATTTTTAGCATGGATGAAGTTCACAACGTTTATAATCAACGAGTTAATAGATAAAATATTTTTTGGGGCAAGTTTTTTGTAATTAGAAAATTTTTCACATTTAGTTGTCAATTATTGAAAAAAAGGATTGTAAACAGAAAAAATTTATACATTCCTGAAGTTTTGAACGTTCAAACGAATGACGATATTTTTGCTACTTTCTTTAAATTGTATTTTATTATAAAAATTATTTTGTAAATTGAAAAAAAAAATTGATTGTTATAAATAATATTAAAAATAATTACCATTTTCATGAAGAAAAATGAAATTTTAAACGAAATTCGGTTAAATTTTTGTCAATATTGAACAATTTTCATTTATTATAATATTAATTATAATTTATTTATTTATTTAATATAATATTTTATTTATAATTATAAATTATAATAAACTTACTCTCTAAATTTGAATATTTGCTAAAATTTACTAATTTGATAATAAAATTTTATTAATGTAATAGAAAATACAAATTTTAAAAAAATATATAATTTATTTGAACATTCAAAATCAATTTTATAGTCTTTCGTGTGAAGAATATTTTTTCTCCATTAATTGTTGGTTATAAACGATATGAACTTCAATAACATAATTTCTAAATAAATAAATGTTAAACATTACAATATTTTTTATGAAAAAAAATTAAATTAAATTACTTTTAATAGAAAAAATTTTTTGTTTACTTAAACGTATTATGTATTAAAAATGTTGAACGTTGAAGTGAACGAAAATTATTTTTTTCTTCTTAAAATTCAAATTTTATTACAATACTAATGCGTTATTTATAAAAAAATATTTTTTAAAAAACACTCATATGAATAAAACATTTGTTCTGTTCAAATATTTTCTAGAAATTATTATATTCGCTAGATAAATAATATAATTTAAATATTTACTCAGTTGAGAATTCATTTTTTATCAATAAAAAACAATGTTTTGTAAAAAAAATTTTAATTTAAAGCAATAATGAAAATATTATTGTGCTAACTTCAGGCACGTGAAAATATTGTCGTTCATTTTAAACGTTTGAAACTCTAGGGACATTAAAAAAAATATAAATTTTTAAATATACCGCGTAATAAAATTTCCAAATGATTTATTTTATTTTCCCAAAATTTTAAACATTCAAAAATGATGCTCCAAAAAAATTTATAAATTTCGAATGAACGAAATATTTATTTACTGTAGATTTTTTCAAAAATTATTGACTGCAACAAAAATTTAAAACCTTAATTAAATAATTTGAAAATTTCTAAATTATTTTTTTTATATGTAACGCAATAATTATGCCAATAATATTTTTGAAATTGAAAAATGAGAAATATATTTCATTCATTTGATTTTTCTAAAGTTTTTGAACATTTAAATGAACGAATATTATTTTCTATACCTATTCAAATATTTTCAAAATTTTACTAAAATAAAGTTAAAATTTTAAATTAATTAAAATTTTTTATTTTTTAAAATATAAAAATATTTTTTCAAAAAAAAATTACTGCGTAATAAAATAAAAAATAAAATAAATTGATCATTTAATTAAAAATTTTTTTAATATTCAAACAAATTATTTTTCAATGGAATTCAAATTCGAAAGAGAAGAGTCTAAAAAATTTGTATAACCTTTCGAAATTTTATAGTCACATTTAATTTTTTGCAATTTATTGGAGATAGCGTTTTTTAAAAATATTCATTGAAAACAAATTCCGTTCATTTGATTATTCATAATATGTAGCATCATTTTTCTACATATTAAAAAACAAGAAAAATTAAAATTAAAAATTAAAAAATTAAAAAAATCTCGTAATTTGACGTAACAGAAAAGTTGCGTATGCGTTCGATTCTTGTATACACACGCGTGTATATATAAAAAAAATTGTTTGGCAAATTACATAGTTGAAAACAACAATATAAAGAGGGATAGAAAGTAAGTAAAATACAGTCTTTCACAATATGATTTAATTCATTGTAAAAATTCTTTCAAGTCGAAAAGAAAATTATTGAAAATCATAGTGTAAATAACGTGTATAGTATAATATATTATTGAAAACTCTCAACCTACATTGCACTTTTGCTAACAGTCCCTGTGTCTTTAGTGAAGGCTCATTAACTCTAAATACGGACTTCGAATTTCTATTTTCGAGTATACATACAAATATATATATATATATATATATATGTGTGTAGTATATTTCAGATGAATGTCCCACATGTTCTCCACTATCTTCCAAGTAAATCAATATTTAACTAGATCTTTAAAGTGTCACATATAATTCTTATTACAATTTTTTTTCTATTTTTTTTCTGAAATATCAATTTGATATTGAAAAATTTACAATTTTCTAAATAATCTTTCATCGAAATGATGAAATCGATATATTTCTTTTTTTTAATTTCTGACCTTGAAAGATATATTGGAATTAGTTAAAATTTTCTGTTTTATTAATATAGACTTGATAATTATTCACGCTTATTAATTATGCTAAAATATCTTGTATTTTTTTATTTTTAATTAAAAAATTTTTCCTGTTTTATATATTCGCATATATTGTATATAAATTTACGATAATTGATTTAAGTTTTAAGTCTCTCCAAAGTTCTGAACTTCCAAACAAAAACGAAATATTTACATAATTTATCAATTAATAATTTTAATTTAATTAATGAATAAAAATGAATAAACATTTTCTAGAGATAAAAATGTCACTAATTTTACTTCTTTCATTCATTTCGGAAGTAAAAATTATGTTCAGAGCACTTTTTTAACTTAAAACCTTTAAAAAATTGTTTTATTCTTTTCATTTTTAATAAAAAACTATATTCCCAAAAATTATAATCAAATTCTTTAAAACAATTCGACTATTTTCAAAAAATTTTCAAAAAAAAAAATAATTATTTAACGAAATTTGTATACAAATCTTCACAATAATTCAATTACTTTCACTAATAATAACATTTTTCATGGAAATTCAATTTAAAAAAAAAATTATTTCATAAAATTCTTAGCAAGAATTAAATTATTTCCATAAATAATAAAATTCATCGAAGAATTCCAATTATTTTCATACATAATAAAACTTATCGAAGAACTTCAATTATTTTCATAAATAATAAAACTCATCGAAGAATTTCAATTATTTTAAAATACTATTTTAAATTAATAAATCGAAAAATTCAATATTATTTTCAAAAATAAAATTTTCCACTTAAGAATTCAATTATTTAAAATAAAATTTTCATAATATTTATTATATTTCGAAAAAATTAATTATTTAAAACAATGTTTATAAAATTCTTATAAAGAATTCAATTATTTTCAAAAATAACACAATTTTTCAACAGAACTTACATTCTTTTTAAACATTTTATTAAAATTTTTGGTCAATAATTCAATTATTTTCCTAAATAAGAAAATTCTTCTCAAGAATTCAATTATTTTTGAAAATTATAATAAAATTCTTTGCAAATATTCAATTATTTTCATAAATAATAAAATTCAACGCTGGATTTCGATTATTTTTAAATCAAAATTTTACAGGAATTGCTCAAAAATAGATATTATTCTTAAACATCTAATTTCAATTCCTCGGAAAAATCAATTATTTAAAAAAAAATTTTTTTTAAAATTCTTTGGAAGAATTCAATTATTCACAAAAATGTTAGGATTTTTCCCAGGAATTCAATTATTTTCAAATATTTTAATAAAATTGTTCAAAAGAAATCAATTATTTTAAATACAATTTTAATTAAATTTTTTTGAAATTTCCAAAAAAAATTTCTTTAGATTTTAATAAAATTCTTCCTCAGAATTCAATTATTTACATAAATAATTCTTTGAAAGAATTCAATTATTAAAGATAAATAACAAAATTATTCCCGAAAATTAAATTATTTTGAGGACATTTTAATAAAATGCTTTTCAAAATTCAATTATTTTTAAAAGAAATAAATTTTTTCTTGGAAATTCAATTATTTTAAAAAAAAATTCTAATAAAATCGTTCGCAAGAATTCAATTATTTTCATAAAGAATAAAATGCTTTTTAGAAATTCAATTATTTAAAAAAAAATTTGATAAAATTCCACACCGACATTCAATTATTTTCCAAAATTTTAATAGACATCTTTGTAAAATTTAATTATTTTCAAAAATTTTTCGCAATTCAATGATTTTCAATATCTACTATTTTCATAAAATTTCCAAACAGAATTCAATTATTTAAAAAAAATTTTTGTAAAAATCTTCGTAAGAATTCAATTCTTTTCATGAATTATAAACATTTCTCAGAAATTCAATTATTTA